AAATTTTGGGATTTAGTCTTAAATTATAAATGCCCAAACAAATGTGTTTTTTACTGTTTTTACGGCTTTATTTGTGATTTTCAAGAATTTCCTTCGGTGAAATCTTCCAAAATTTTTACATCACATCGCTTCCAGCGGGATACGAAGTTTAAACACGAAAAAAGTAGGGTTTGTAAAGGCAGTTTCTTCGATATTTTCAAATTTATGTCTTTTACGGCTGCAAAAAATCTGGTCTTATAGATTTCACTAAAAAAACGAGCTCCGCCTAAAGTTAAGTATTTACTACCAATCTGCCAAATTTTACGGAATTTCACCGAAGGAAACGCGAGAAAATTCATCGCCAGTTTTGCTTTTTGTGCTCATGTTGACGTAATAAAATATCGCAAAACACTAACGTTTTCCTTTGAGCACGCGCAGATTACTTCCTCAGCGCCCGTGCGATCGTAAAACTATAGGGAGCTACCTTAAAAGTTATCCACGTTGTCGGAGCCTTACGGGGTAGGGGGAGGGTACCCTCATTTAGTGGCGTTCGCTGGATCTTTGGCACCGTAGCGACTGTAACGTATCTCTGGAATTTTTTTCTCGAGCAACACATGTATGTTTACCATTTATTTATGTATTTGTCCCAGTTATTTGCATGTGGATCTAAATTTTGACGGAGTAAAGAAACTTCAACACCAACTCTCGAGTAAGTCCGCTGACCAATGCTTGGTTTATTTCGTCGCCGGGCTATTGTTTCTGTTTCTGTTTTGTTTCAGCCCAGAGTTGTATCTTCAGTTCTCTTCAGACTGGTTGTTAAAACAACTTAATCGGTCACTGAATAAAAGATTATTGTAATCTCTCCGTATCTACACAGGAGCAACTCGTTGTTTTCAGTACGTAAAAACACAGGCTGATACAGGTGTTATTTTCTCTTGGTCAGCAATCTTGTTTTGAATACACGAGACTCTCATTTTACGTACCAAGTATACACTGCCAACGAACTATTTTCTACTTTTCACCTCAGCTCTCTTTCTCCATGTTTCGGTCTGAGTTCGTTTGCTCGAATTACCTTGTTTAACTTGCATGTGACGGGAGAAAGTACTAACAATAAAGATCAATAAAGGTGCTGAGCGTAGCAGAGTCGGGTAACAAATGAAAATAAGAATGTTGAAGTGGACTTCGTGAATAGGATTAGAAAGATGAAAACTAAGTTGAATTTATGGCTTTCTAGGGATCTTATGCTATATGGTAACTCTTTACCAGCTAAGACGTTAGGAGTGTCTCAATTGATCTACGCAGCGTCCATGCTGTCTGTCCCGACTTCAGTAATAAAACACGTCCAAGCAGAGCTTTTTAATTCAATTGTCAATGTTCGCTGATTGGCTGAACATCCGCCAAGAAACATAGTTTCCTTTTATTATGTTATTTCATTATTTTATTTTACCGTATGCGTAACTTTAATTTACACTGTCAATTAGTTTTACATATTTTCGGTGTTACGAAAATATGCCACATAAAAACACGTCCCAATGTAAAATTCTCATTGTACCTGAAGAAGGCTGGTTTGGCCAACCGAAGTATAATACACCTTAAAAAATCATCCTACGTTGTGTCGGTTTCCGCTTTTATATTCTTCATTTTGTATGTGAAGCCGATTAGATCACTACTGATCCAACGTACACCAGCAGGATCATCGTTCCGGTTTCTTGCTTAAACATTTTATCCGGTAAATAGTTTATCTAGTTTCTGTATGTTAACCGTTTAATCTAGATGTCGAAAAGTCCTTTTTAGAGATGCTCACTTAAGTGTTTGTCTGTATGTCCTGATGTAGGTCCCGTAATAACTTCCCAAAAAGTTATTTTTTCAACAAATTTACTTTTTGTTAACTTTTTTTCACTGATAGCTGAGCACGTTATTATATTGACAAGGACTTTCAGGCTCTTCAATTGCTTGTATCAGGTCATGTTGACATGCAGCAATCGATAAAAGCTGCGGAAACACTTGTCTAAAGCTGGACAGGTGTTCCCACAGCATTTTCCGTTCTCCACTCGTGTTTTTGTAACTCCATAGAAACACAGAAAACGTTTTCTACTTCTTAAATTAAATTAGCCGGCAAACATGCAGACCGTCTTGCGCACCGTAATGTACTCTCAAGTAAGCCAATAGGATAACTACTCACAACACGTTATACACTAACCATACTTGTACTAGAAATGTTTTATTTTTATTGAAATTTGCTTGGGAAATAATTGATGTGAAGGCATGGGCTGAAGAGAGTAGACTGAAAAACCTCACATAACCCATAATATTTATATTATTTCTTTTTCTGTGAACTTTGTATGTTCTTATAATATACAGTAGACCTACAGGCAGCATCTTTGTTTTTTTTTTTTTTAGCAAAAAATCCCTTTAAAAAGGTTAAAATGTGTTTTGCAATGATCACTTCCCACACAAGGTTTAAATACAGAAAATCTAACCAGCCTGCCTAGTGTTAAGTGACAAAAAATAATGATTCTTACAGCCTAAGAATCATCAGTGACACTGCTGGATCTAAATTGAAAATATAACAATGAGTGTGACATAAAGGGTAACTATAACAAACAGGAGGAACCAGGCTTGAATACTCTTGAATCCTTTAGGAGGGATTTCAGGTATTCAGGAAAATCTGTTCACTTGGGCTAAGCTGGTGTCTTCTTCAGACTCTCAGCTGCCTACATGTGAAGCACATCTTGCCATTTCTGCATTACGAGTAGCACGTTTTCTAGCACACTGACCAACTTGCCTGGAACAAAATATGAATATAACCTCTGAAATAGGAACATGGATCAGACACAGCATATATATTTTACAAAAGGTGCTTAATATGTTTTTGTTCTAGTTGGTAAATATCCCTCTGTTTTCCTGGACAAGAAATTAAAAACTGCTAGGAGTCCATGCCTGCGACTTGACCTTTGGCCTGCATAGGCATAGCTTGGTTCTGTGAAGAAAAAAAAGGTGAAAATTTCCTTCACTAAGGAATGGTTTTTATTCAATAAATTAATAATCATGCACAATGTACATGTATGGTCAAACTTCACTTATTATGGAGTTTTAGAGGTCAAAAATAAATGTTTCAAATAGTTTTGTTTTCCTTTTCAGTAGGTCAAAGATCTCATTTGATCAGGTTCTCAAGTTGATCATTCACTAGGCTGAAAAGTGTCAACATATGTTTTTCAGAGGGAGTGAAAAATGAATTTCTGAATTTCATGGTCTAAACAATAATATACTGTATAATTATTATTGGTGACTGAATGGTCTATGTACCTCTTGTATCTTCGGGAGCTGTGGATGCTGTTGGTAACACATTTTCACTTGCAGATAATGATACAAAAAAAGCAAATGGCAGAATCCATAAACAGATTGTGAAGTAAGCTAGGATCTGAAGAGAGTAAAGTCCAAAAAAAAAGTGAGGCTTGGAAATTGCTTTTCTTTGCACCCTGCTAATCACAAATAACAGTTTGCACTGTAATAATAAAAACAATAAAATACTACAATACCTCAGAAAATGGATACCAGACAGACGAAAAGTAGTCAAATGCCAAGTAGTGATTAACAAATACCATTGCTGCAAATAAATTGAAAAATAATTTTACAAGCTACATAAAAAGACCTTACCAATTTAATTTTTTCCAATGATTTGATTAAAACTTTTCTTCCAGTAAATGCCAATTATCATATACAGTTGCAAACAACCCAGTCTGCCCATTCCCCACATTAGAAGTTTGTGAGAACTTCATGTAGTGCCTCCATTTAAACAAGGACCCTTCAAGTCTAACCAGCACCATTTGTAGAAAATACTTACAAGAAGCAAAGAATTTAAGTTACATGTATTGTGGCAGTCACACTATGCAAGTCAGGCAGTTGTGAAAATAAGACCTGGAAAAACCAAGTCAGGTTTGAAAGGGATTTGAACCCATGATCTGTGTGATACAAATGAAGTGCTCTACCCCCAGGGGGTTACTATGGATTTCAACTAGTGGGGATTGATGGAAGGATGTTTCTCTGTTTGAAATTTTTTATTCCAGGTATTATTCAGGTAAGAAAATTTGACAAGTACAGTCAAACCTCCAGTTGCGACCACCTCTCCTCAGTGACCAGTTTTCCAAAATGCCAAAAGTTTCCAAGTCAAATCACTATATTCAGAACTTCTTGTAAGCGACCAACTCTCTTAAGTGACCGTGACCACATTAAGAGCTAAAAGTTTGAAATTTTCTTTTGTTTTTAACCTCTTGTAATTGACCACTTGACAAATAATAGAGGGGAAACTGGAAAATAAGGTGTTGTAAGTATAAGAGATGGAAATTGCTCAATGGGATGTACTGGATTTTTCTCGAAACTTCTCCGCAGTTACCATATGGTAAAATTTGACCCATAATGGTCTAAGCTCTCATAAGCAACCACCTCCCACTTAGGCTTGACATCCTGGGTGGTCTCTTACTGGAAGTTCAACTGTATTTTTGTTTGAGGGGGGGGGNCATAGTTCTGTGAATAAAGTACAACCAAATCCAAATTTGTTCTATGGTTGCTGACATAGCAATGACATAGCAATTTTTCTAGGACAATCCCGTCCAAGGGGAAAAGGCGCAATGAAGTTAACCCTATGTGAAGCACCAACCCCTGAGACAACGCCAGACCACAACACTGGGAACTATGTGCCCTACTCTTTGCAATAAGTGTGTGGGAAAACAAATAAGTGCGGAAAACTATTTCACTTGATGCAAGATTTCTTCACCAGGTGATGAATATTATTTATTATGGAGCTTAGCCCTGTGAGCTGACAAGATGAACCGAATTCTGCACTGTGATTGCCTACCGGAGCAAGCAAGATGGCTCTATCTTGCCCACTTGGGATTACCCACTGTGCCCCATAGACCACATGTTCTTTTTCCATGTAATAAATCCTTTATTGACCAAGCTTGTTCAGACAAGATGGCTGGATATTGGCCCTGTTCTATTTTTGCATGTTTATGGTCCACGACTCCATCTTGGTCCATAAACATGCAAAAAAAAAAAAAAAATAATAAAATAATAATAATAACTCAGCAAATATCCAGCCATCTTGACCTCATGTTTGGTCAATAACCATCCAGTTTGTATATACAGGGTGCATTCACAACTCTAGATTCTGTAGTGTATGGTAAAATGATAAGAACTCCACACTCAGCCCTCAATAAACTATGGTAAAGGACTCTTACCTACTCCTCCTAAAAACACAGGAGATGTAAGTTCAATAAAAGGAAAATCGTTGAGAAGTAGAAAGTAAAGTCCATTGCTGATGAGTCCTCCGATAATCACTGTGATAGGGAATTTTTCCAACACAAGAAGTCCAACATAAACTATTGTTGTTACCTGCAAAAACAAAGGGAAAATAGGAGATATGTTAAAAAAAAATGTAAAATAAATTATAGCAATTTTAATCAAATATACCCCTACCTGAAAGCTAAATGTAGTTTCTAGTAGAAACTATGGATATAGTGCAAACATAGGAAATGCTTATTTATTGCTATTATTGGTGGAACTACTCACTAAACTTATGCGCCTGCAGGCATTTTAAATTAGCATCATCTGAAACAGGCTACATGTATTTAAACTTAAGAGTGTGTTAACCTTTCTAAATGTGAAAAACGAATAAAATATTGATATAGCCTGAGCTACAGGTGCCAATTTATTAGCGCAGGGTTCCTTTTTCCTATTTGATATCCCACCTCTAGCTGACACCAGTATCCATAACACGTAACTGAAGCTGTCTGCTCACTTTGTTCATGTCCATTAGTAGACTTCTATGTAGGAACTATACTAAATAATAACATGGCTAGCAAAGTGGCACTATCAAACTCAGTATTACAATGGAATCCTGATTTTTTGATCCTCCAAGGGAAACAAAAATTGGTTCGAAAAATCGGATAGTTTGGGAAATTGGGAAAAAAATTACAGTGTTTGACTGAGGAATGGGAAGTGACCTTTGGTTGGAGTTATCAGGCGGCATGGAAAAATGAGGGCTTGACAAATCGGGATTCCATTGTACATATTAAGTGTACATAATAATCCGGCAATGCTCTTATGGTATGAGCAAAGTCAGATTTGTTTTGCAAGACAAAAAAAATATATTTTCACTGGCAATGTTATAATTCAATTAAACATGCTGTTAGCTATGCATCATTGAGTTATGATGCACTTGGGAAGTTTGGGGAGCACTTAAGAAGTTAGGGTTGCTCTTGGCTACCCCTTGAGCAACTCTTATGCTTCTTTCCTACTCTCCAAACTTCCTGCAAGCATCATAACTCAGAGATGCGTGCGAAACCATGAATCAATATTGTCAATGTATCTCTAGTCTCAAAACCAGAATATATCAATTTTATCAACNCTGTCTGCTCACTTTGTTCATGTCCAATAGGAGACTTCTATGTAGGAACTATACTAAATAATAACATGGCTAGCAAAGTGGCACTATCAAACTCAGTATTACAATGGAATCCTGATTTTTCGATCCTCCAAGGGAAACAAAAATTGGTTCGAAAAATCAGATAGTTTGGGAAATTGGGAGAAAAATTACAGTGTTTGACTGAGGAATGGGAAGTGACCTTTGGTTGGAGTTATCAGGGGGCATTGTACATGTTAAGTGTACATAATAATCCGGCAGTGCTCTTATGGTATGAGCAAAGTCAAATTTATTTTGCAAGACAAAAAAAATATATTTCCACTGGCAATGTTATAATTCAATTAAACATGCCGTTAGCTATGCATCATTGAGTTATGATGCACTTGGGAAGTTTGGGGAGCACGCAAGAAGTTGCTCTTGGCTACCCCTTGAGCAACTTTTATGCTTCTTTCCTACTCTCCAAACTTCCTGCAAGCATCATAACTCAGAGATGCATGCGAAACCATGAATCAATATTGTCAATGTATCTCTAGTCTCAAAACCAGAATATATCAATTTTATCAACAGGCTGTTATAGTGCTATTTAGGAGATTCCCATTATTTGGTTGCCTGTTTCCCCTCGTGACAAAAAAATTATCTAGTCCACAAATCATTGCTCCTGTTCAGAATCAGCAGAGACTTGCTTCATCAGTGTGGAAAGAAGATTTGTCTCTAGTCAAAATAATGTTCATCTTGGTGATGAGTGCTGAGACGCTGCTGACTGCACTTACAGGCTACTACCTAAGGATCTCTTTAGATTATCAGTCAACGCATTTAATCTATGATGCATGTCACTCCTGTTCTTGGGGGTTAAGTACAGCTGAGTCTGTTTGCCTCTAGTTTAGTCACATATTTAGATGTTGCGCTTCAATCAGTACATGCTTTGCAAAGCAGCCATGGTTGTGCAATATCTACATTGCAAATTCCATCAAACATTGCAAGTGCTTGTACCCTTTTTATAAATGCAAGTTAATATTATCTATTTCCCTTGCAAATAAAAGGGGCATATGAAAATACATTCAAAACAATCAGACGTTGCACAAATGATATAATTCAAGACAGTACATTCAGTTGAAATAAGAATTATTTCACGTATAACTAAACAAAACTCTCCATCTTTGCAATTATCTTGTGGATTGGCATGTTTTGCTTTACTTCATAAATATTTCAAGCGAGGATTTTACTGCAAATTCAGCTGCAGCTCAACACTGACTCGCATTATAATCAACTGAAAATTGAACTATACGTGTACACATGGCCATAAAGCCTTTCTGTGTTGATCATAAAGGCATAGCATGATCGATGAGGTGTCCTGCAATCTTGCGCCATCGGCATCCAGGACTGTACGAGTTCTGCAATAAACAGTGAGCTTGCGTTCAACAGACACCTGTAATGTAAATACTTTAATAGCTTTTATGCTGCCTATGATAAATATTTTACGTACACAAAAAACTGCAAAGGCTGACCCACTCACCACTAGCATACCCTTGATTACTTTAGCTGTTAGGACTGTGTATTCCTCTACAAGTTCAGCCAGGTAAAAGAGAGCTGCAGCTGTAACAAAATTGCACAACAAAAAGCACAATCTTTTGTAAACACCTATGCACATATTTTGGTGAGAAGGACATCGGCCTGCATGTACAGTCATACAGCACTAGAATGCAAGAATTGACCTGCAAATACCTAAAGCTAGAGTCAAGAAGAGGACATGGAAGATCATCGAGATCCAGCTTAAAATATAAAGAAACATCTTGGAAGGACCACGTTGACAATTTGTACGTATTAAGTAAAACTCACGAAACGTGCGAGAATAAACTGTTCGGCTATGTAGCCACTCCTTAGATTAGCAACCGCTCCTCAATCCAATAGGTCCGCATAGCATGCATAATTACTGACGATCAAGTGCCCAGTTTTCGTTCGCGCTAAGAGACTGCGAAATAACAAACACAGTATTTTGTTTTACAGTATCTTGGTCAGTTCAGATTCAATTAGATGACTGAGCTCAACAAAACAATCAGCATGCGTGCAAACATTATGGAACAATCTTTTTCATTCATCTCTATCTGGTTTTTACATATCGGGTCCCCCCACAAATCTTTCATTTATCTAAGTAGTCACGCTTTTCTGTTTATTTTTTACTGAACTAAATAGTTCCATAATTGATTCTTTAGACGCACCTTTTTGAATTTGCAATACCTTAAAGGGACAAAAATGCCGTACTTGAAATGAGAGACATTCAGCGAAAAGCCTAGAAAATCAAAGTTTTGTTTCGAAACAAACCACAACATACGATGAAGCATATACCAAGATGAGCTCTACGTCAAGGGTTTCTTATTTCCTTGGCTCGAATCTAGTTCACAAGTAAGATTAACAAGATTAAAGAAAAAACCCTCTTCATTAATTTTTACTAATATCTGGAAAACATTGACTAAGTGTTGTACATGTAGTTTGCGCATTGGTTAAAAAAAATGTTGTCTCATTTGTATTCGTTTTCTTACGGCAAAATTTATTCGCAATCAAAACCATATTAAGAGTCCCTGTCCATAAAAATGGAAAATAACTCGGCAAGAGTCGAAAATTCGATTTCGCTCATATTTTCATGGTAGATAGGTTAGGGCATGACAAAAACTACTGCATAGTTTTTTTTGGCAAAATCTCCTTTTATTTCAAAGAAATATGTAAATTACCAAATTCCGTTAAGATCGTCATTTGACGCACCATTTTATCAAGCAACTTTGAGAGCCACGCATGCAAAACCACAA